TGTGTGTGTGTGTATGCTCTCGACCGATTACTGGGAAACTGCTGAATTCATTAACCTCGTTTCCTATATAAAACTGACTGTTTTGGGCCTGATACACATATGTCCTATTTAATGTAATTTATGACTTTATCTGATAAATAATTTGAACTGAACTGCGCTTGTATTCTGCAACCCTCAAATTGTTTATTTTTACAATACAGTGCTTATCTTTTAAAGTAAGAATAGTCTAGAACGACCAGATGCATTCGCCCCAAGAGAGGCGTTCAAAAATGATTAAAGCACAAAGCCAATTCATCCACACTGGCCCATCTTTTCAGTGGTTCCTGTGAGATCAATGTTCCCTGTCGCTTTTGAAGTGATTCAACTTCGCTCGTTAAATTACGTGTACATCCGAAAGCTTGCAATTTTGCCGCCCGCGAACCAGAAATTTATCATCACTTAGTTGTACGTAACTATGGGTTTCTGACAGTTACCCAAAAAGAGTAAACTTCATAGTTGCTCCAAGACTATTTGTCATGCAATGGATTATTCCACCCGTGGAGTATGTCTCTGATCGTCCACGTGCGTGCTAGTCGACTCCAAGCAGTACTGTGTTCATGTATTTGAAACGTCGTAGATTCCAGTACTTTTTATGACCAATGGTAAGCGTTACCCCATCGTAAAGATGACTTTTTCAAATGTTCTTAGCATTTTGTTGTCGAATATTTTTTCGTTTGAAGGCCAGTTGGAGCGCTGAGATTCACCAGCGAAGAGAACCGCGAGCATTCGATTTACGTAGTGAAGGCCTTAGCTTTAAGCTATACAACCGACGGCCAACACATGATTATGTGGATTCAGTATGATGGATTTCATGCGAATTCACACACTCTTTAGTCTTCGTTTTAATATCAAATAACAATCCAGCTCCTGCTAGGTTCTATGCACTCTTTTTTGTGCATTTGTAGCCGTAACAAGCTACTTCCTTTGCTGGAGAAAGGTTTCGCGCCGAACTAGGTCCCACAGGGATTAGAATTCGGTGTCTGAGGGTACATCTCTATTCAAAAGTACTGTGTCAGCACGTGTCCGATCGGATTAGATAGAGAGCGAATGATTCCATTCTTCCAATGGAGTTCCACTGGGCTGCCTTGTATCCCCACTCCTAGTTCACTTTACAATGGCCATTCATTCCCGGACAGTAGGGTTACTGACCTCGAATGCAGCAGATAATATCACTCTACGCAAACAATCCAGACCGCATTGAGCTGTTTGGCGGTTAAAATATCCGTCTAAGTATTACTTCAAGACAATGGTAACAGGTTCCAATAATCGTAGATGACCGACAGTATTCATTCGACAGAGTAACTCATCTAATGGGTTAACTTGTGACTAATAGTTGTGTTAAAAACAAGATGTGTTCCGTTTGGCTGGAAAATCCTTTCCCATGATCCCACACAACACCAGGTTTGCTGACACTGATTCTATTGACGCAGGTTATCTTCCAATCCGAATAAACACACTATTAAGACTGGATCAACTTTTCCTGTTGCTTGTTCTCTTTCACTTCCGTTACCGTCAATTTCTTTCACGTGGGATTCTCTGGTCTATTTATTGCATCTCCCTCGTCCTGTGCTAGTGAAGAGATTTTCCATTCCGCATACTGGTTTCCGATGCTCGCCCGGGGGCATGGGAACCGGCGCATTCACAGAGAAAATTCGCATAACAAGGGTACATGTTAGCCTACTTAGTTTTGCTGAATACGGAATGAACTACACTATACACGCAACGGTGTAGTATACACACGGTGACAACTCAGTTCGCTATTTCCGTTTTTATGGGATTCATTCGCACTATCGTTCCAGTTCAACCTAGAATATACCGCCCCCCCCAGGCCCTGCTAGGAAGTGTGATCAAGCAATGTCGTTTGGACTATCACTCCTTTATGGCTTGATGGAGTCACTTGAGACTGTTCTTGGACAACNCAACCTGAGTTGCCTCCCTCGATCCTCCACATGTTCCCCTAGCGACGTTACGGTCAGATAAGATTACTGACAATTTATTTAGCCAAATACTCTGCCGTATTCAGATAGTCGTTTCGCTCTATGGGATGTTATGCGCGTTCAGCACTCCTTTTGTGCATACTATGTTGCGATGTGTCCAAATTCAGAATGCATGAGTGTTACCGATTACGCATTATATCGTTATTCTCTTTGCTTTCCCACCCTCCCGTCGAATGATGTGCTTTGATTCGGATTGAAATAGTGTTTTGGACTTGGATTTCCATTGGACACTAATTATGGTCCTAAGTGTTGAAATCGATTGTTCCGTCTATTTTTCGTGGTTGTGAGGATCCACCAGGAGTGTTACTCCCGTACTGTTCCTTCCTTCTCGAGATGAACTTTGTTTTGACTAGTTCAGTGATGGAACTTAATCAGTTGAGCTGTCCCTCGAAACTCTTTGCTGAATCACCCATACAGATGTGC